GGAACAAGTCTCCACGCGCTCTGAGGGCACTGACCTCAGCTGCAGGAGTGACCTCTGCTACCCCTGGCTAGGTTGACCTCCTGCCGCCTACCCAGCAAAGTGGAAATCCTCGGGAATCCCTTCCTGACTACTGTGTGCAGCGCCCCCTGCTGGGCACTGGCAGTGGTGTGAGCTGAGGGAAAAGTTTTTCAAAAACTGCAGGCCACAGCTGCACGTGACAAGCTGCTGGGCAAAGAGGCAAACCAGGCTGGCACCGTATGCAGCAGGTCGCTTCAGCGCGTGCTCACCTGCGAGTCTGCGGGAAGCCAGGTCTGAAAGCCAGGCGTGGCCATGAGACCCAGAGTTATCCTGAGCGCTAAGCCCGACACCTTCCTAGGAGTGTGCCTCATTTTAATCAGTAGATGTCTTTCCGGTGTTCAGTGGTCTCCAGTCCCCAGCTCCAGTTCTGCGCGGGCGGCGGGCCCTGGGACAGGCTGGCTGGCTGCTGGGTCCTGGAGGGCGCCCCTCCCCTGTGGCAGGCTGTCTGGCCCCGAGATGCTGGCGTGTGGAGCCTGGCAAGCAGCTGAGAACGGTCCACTCAGAGTTTTTATTTTAGAGTTCATCCGAGCACTACCCTGCGTTTGTCCTGAAACGGACAGCAAAGAAACGTTTCTCTATCCCAGTAGTCAAATCTGCTGCTCAACTGCCCGGCGGGAGGAGGAACGTCAGCTGGATTCACCCTTCTTCCTCAACTGCCTCCCTGCCCTGCACCCCGCACCTCAGCATACCCACCCCCTCCACACCCTGCCCTCCCTCCTAGCCCTCCCTTCTCCTCCTGGAGGCTGGCCCTATTTGCAGTAAAGCAAGAGCCTGGTAAGGAGCCCAACCTCTAAACTCCACCTGCTACTCCTGACACCCACCTGACACCCCACCAGTCCTCCACCCCAGGGCCTCCTCTGGAAACAGCAGGGAAGTGGATCGGATGGCTTTAACAGCAGTTTCTTTCTTTTTCTTTTTTTGGGGGGGGTCCAGCCGTGGGGCCTGAACTCTGAGCCTGGGCGCTGTCCCTCAGCTCTTCATCTCAAGGCTAGCGCTCTACCACTTGAGTCACAGCGCCATTTCGGGCTTTTTTCTGTTTGTTTATGTGGTGCTGAGGAATTGAAACCCAGGGCCTCGTGCATGCAAGGCAAGCACTCTACCACTGAGCCACCTTCCCAGCCCCTAACAGCACTTTCTGAATGCGATATCTAGCGGTGGGTGAGACGTTACCAAAAACCAGAGAGGACAACCAGCCAATGGGGTGCCAGGGCCCAGCGGGGGCCGCCGGCCCGTAAACAGCAGGGACTGGACGGGGAGAGGCGGGAGGAGCCAAGCCTGCAACTCCAAGCAAGCTAACGAGGGTCCGTGGGCAGCGCCTATGTATTTTACTATGTGAGCTAGCTTACAATACGGAGGGTATTTTGTGCGCAGGTGTGTGGATTTTAGCACATGCGCACACTTGCGTGGTACTGCTGCTGTCAGAATATGTCACCCCCAAAACCAGGATCCCGCTCTGGCCAGGCCACACCTCCTCGTGCCTCACACCACCCACCCCATGCTGGTCTCTCGCGGTGTTGATCTTCTTCAGAACGCCCCGGGACTAAGATCACACGGTATGGAATCCTTTCCAAATGGCTTTTCTACACATCGGGTCTTGGAAGCCCACTGACTGAACTACTATGTATATCAAACACTGTCCCTTTTTACTTGCTGAGCAGCATTCCATTGCATGAACATACCACAGAGTGCCCGTTCATTTGTCCACTGAAATAATACTCGGGCTGCTTGCAGTTCCTAGTGACAACACACTCGGTGGTTACATTCACACATACGTCTGTGTGAAAACATAAGCTTTTATTAAAAGCTTATTAAAATTTAAAACTTAAATTGTTTCCCTCTGAAAGGCTAGTGACTCGGCATGATGGAGACCGTGGGTTTGATCCCTCACTACTGGAGAAAATAATATATAAACAATACATATATTTTTAAAATAAGCCAGGCGCTGGTGGTTTGTTCCTGTAATCCAAGCTGCTCAACAGGCTGAGAACTGAGGATCACAATTTGAAGACAGCCAGGACAGGAAAGTCCAGGAGACTCATCCCCTGTTAACTACCAGAAAGCTGGAACTGGTGACTCACAGTGGGAGAGTGTTAACCTTGAGCCAAAGAGCTCAGAGAGAGCACCCAGGGCCTGAGTTCAAACCCCACAACTGACCCCCCAATATATATATATATACACACAAATATATGAAATACATTACACATGGTCAATCTATTCATTATAAAAATCACTTCTGAAGAACATCCTTTCTGCTTTCTATCACTCAAAGCGGGAAAGGGGCTTGCACAGCCTCTAGCAGGCAGGCCTGACTCCATCGGAAGCAGCTTACTTGTTTTCCTGAGCCACAGCTGTGGCCATGCCGAGTAACTCCGGTGCTCCACACCCTGACGACGTTTAGCATCTCTTGCGCACGCTCTGTTACTGCCCCGCCGCTCTGGCCAGTGCTTTCCTAACGACTTGCAGGCCACACACCTGCGATATGCGGTTTGCGCCCACGCAGTCAGGGCGGTGAAGGGTCATCCCAGTGCTCTCTCCCTCCTCTAGCAAGTTGATTTCTGTCTGTCCACTGGTAAGAGCTGAGTGTTGCTGTGGTGGCAACTTTTTTTTGTTTCAATCCATTATCTTAAAACGTGATTGTTAACTATTTTCTTCCAGTCAGTAGCTTGCTGTTCATCTTCTTAATGGAGAATCTTCTTATAGAGAAGTCTAAAGCTTTGATGAGGTTCAGTTTATCCACTGTTCCTCCTGGGCTAGCTTTTTGCACACCAAATTGTGAAGGTTTTTCTGTCTTCTAAAAATTTAGAACATTACATGGCAACCCCAGACTTGGGCTCATTTTTACTTTTACATGACCCCTGAACTGGGTTAGGGCTTATTTTTGCACAGAAGGAAGGGTGTCTAGTTGTTTTAGTGTTGCTGGCTGCATGGAAGTCCACTCTACACTGAGCTGTGCTTGTGCCCTTGCGAGAATCAGTCAGGGGCATGTGTGTGGCTCCACCCCAGATGCTGAGATGCTCAGCCTGATTACTAGGTCTATACAGCAAACTTGAAAGCAAACAAGTCTTCTTCTCTCTGGCATTATTTAGCTGGTTTGATTCCTTTGCATTGTCAGCCAGCTCAGAAGAAGTTTATCCAGAATTTATCAAACCCCTGCTGTCAATGGCATTGAACCTGTGCACCAGTCTCTGTGACGATCCAGCCCATGAACATGGTGCCTCTCCAGTTAAGGCTTGGCTTTCTTTTCTGCTCGCTAGCATCAAGATGCAACAAGTGGAGCTCGGGTGGAGCTAGCCTCTGTTCCTCCTTTCTTCTGTGCTATTAGGCATGGGAGGATGATATCACTGCTCACTGCTGATCTACAGAAATAGGATTGCTTAAATGTTCTTCCAATTAGAAATCCACCGTAATGATACCTGCATGGTATAATTACACCTGTTGGAATTATGTGACTACCTGGAGTTATCTGTGATAGTTCCATTAGATTCCGCAGGGCAAGTCATCTAACGCAGTCTGCCTGTTCATCTGCCAGTGGTCTTGGTGTACCTGGACCTTGTCTCCAGGTGCGCTTACCCCAGATTTTGTAGTTCTGGGAGCTGAAATGCGGCCACAGACTTGGTGAGCTCCTGAAGAGACTTAGATTACGTCCCCCTGCGAAGTCAGGTGGGCCATATATTCATTATGAAAACAGGTAACAGATGTGTGGTGCCGGCGTTTCGTTAGATTTCTCACAGCACGAGCCTGCGCGGCATGCACGAGCGTTCATTCATGCGTCCAGGGCTTTTCCAGCGGGCGCGGCCAAAGAGGCTTTCGGATTAGAAACCCAGGTGGAAGGCGCCATCCGGGGAAGTTTGTGATGTGGGAGCTCCACCTGCTGGGCCTTGCCCTCAGGAGCAGTCCTGGTTTCACCTCTTCACAAGACGGGGTGCCGTGCCGGGGTGGTGAGGGGGGATTGGGGGCCAGTGAGCTCAGTGGTGCACTGGATGGCAGACAGAAGAGCCCAGAGACCATGGCAGCAGAGGGGGAGGGGGGCTCAGGGAGGGAACTTCGGACCTGGAGAGGCCTGGTATGGAAGGGTGTGTGTCTGTGTGTGTGGCAGGGTGTGTGTGTGGCACGGTGTGTATCTATGTGGTGTGGCAGGGTGTGTTCTGTGCAGGGGAACAGTCGGGGCATGTGCGGACAAGATGAGCACACTCCCGGCAGTGGAGGGCTCATGATATCTCTTGAAAACCAATGTGCAAGCTGGGCGCTGGAGGCTACACTGACAGTCCTAGTTCAGCTCAAAAGGCTGACATCTGAGGATCAAGGTTCAAAGCCAGCCTGCGCAGGAAAGTCTGTGTGGGACTCTTCCAATGACCCACCAAAAAGCTGAAAGTAGAGCTGTGGCTCAGGTGGTAGAGAGCCAACCTTGAGGAAAAATGCTGGGGGACAGCACCCAGGCCCTGTGTGCATTCAACCCATCCCAGCACAGGTGCGTACACACACATACACACATGTATGCTCACCACACGTGTATGCGTGCACACACACAGAGCCCCGGATCCCGTAGCGCATGGGGGCTACAGCACACTCTGAAAGCAGAGGCCTTGCAAATGAGCGGATGCGCTGGCTGTGGTGGGTTGGTTTGTGTCCCCCGGAGCTTTTCCTCTTTCCCAGCCAGAGGCCTACTGCAACCAGCGGGCGTCCCTCTCGGCTTTGTTTATCCTGTGCAGGCTGAGCACGCTCACCCTTAAACAGCCCTCCCTCCCCCTCCGCCATCGAGCCCAGCTCCTGCGTCGGGTGTGTCCCACGCACATCCCAGGCTGGTGGGTGCCCTGGCCGTCACTCTGAAATTGGCCCTGTGCCCAGGCAGCTGGGACTCAAGACTCGGCCTCCACGAGAGGACAGGCCCGGCCTCCTCATGAGCCCAGGCCTCTCTCTTCCAGGACTCCCACCACACAGCGAGAACAGCGCACTACGGTTCCCTGCCGCAGAAGCGGACCCAAGACGAAAACCCTGTAGTCCACTTCTTCAAGAACATCGTGAGTAACGGCACGGGAATCTGGAGGCTGCGGGGAGCGGGGGGGGGGGGGGGGGAGAAGGAGCTCTCGTCCTGGGCCCAGGGGCCTCCAAGCACGGCCGAGGCTCAGGCGGGTGTCTTGGGGTGCCGCTGGCATGGGGACTTGACCTTCAGGGGCCGTGGCCCTGGGTCCCAGCTTGGGGGGAGGCGGTGAGTCTTGGCTTGTCTGCCGCTTAGAACACTGCAGGTTGAGCGCCCAGCTCAGTTCTGCTGCAGCCGTGCTGTGTGTGAGCCGCAGCCTTTCTACAACCGCATCAGCGAGCGGACGGGAGGGCCTGGGGCATTCTCAGGACAGCGTGCATCTGTCCCACATCACAGAGGAGATGCAGGTGCCCATGCGACACAGCATGCTCCAGAGTACACTAGCTCGTAATAATAGTAACAACAACAGTGCTAGCAATGATCAATAACACGAGTCCTGAGTTTATGGGTCGTGGCAAGCGGAGCAGGGCTTGTGGGGATGGTAAGTGCATGTGTAAGGTGGAATTCACAGCCCGTGGTTTTCCTACAAAGCTACAGATAAAGGTCTATAAAGACAGAAGCAAGGCGCGGGCTGGCGGAGGTGCAGCGCGTGCCACCCGGCTGTGCCAGGCAGGCCGGGGCACTTGATTCAACCCGGAGGCACCGGTGGGGGCCCAGGACAGGCAGACAGCACAGCTCACAGACCCCAGGGCCCCGGCCCCCCCATGCAGCAGAGAGCACCCCAGGCTGCCTCCCTCAGCTCCCCCTTCTCTGTTCCAGGTGACTCCACGCACTCCACCCCCATCGCAAGGCAAGGTAAGGAAGATTCTGGATGTTTTCACCAAGCAGCGCTTTGCTCCTCGACTTTCCCTGAAAGGGCAGAACATGCTGAGAGGAAGTTCCCTCAGACCGTGTGCCCTGGGGCTCCCTCACAAAGCAGGGTGCAGGCCCCAGTGGGCGCCGTCCCGCAGCCACGCAGAGAGGCCCAGTCCATCCGAGGGCTCCGCACGCTGGCTGTGCCATGGTCTCCAGCGCGGGGCAGAGGGCGGGGGACACGTCCGCAGTCCACGCACCAGCTGCCACCGTGTCTGTGTGTTGCGATCACCCCTCACGGTGTCTCTCTCTTCCCCACACAGGGCAGAGGCCTGTCCCTGAGCAGATTCAGCTGGGTAGGTGACACGCGTGTCCTCAGCTTCCTTCTCCTCTCTGTCTGCTCTTTCTGTGCCGCTCTCTTTCAGTTGCTTAACGGTCCAGCCTCTTTTCCTCCCCAGACCTCTTTGCCCTGTGCGGCCATGGCTTGCTTCCTTGTCCCTTTGCAACATGCTGTGCTGGGGACCTGGGCCTGCTGGACACTGCTGGATGCTCAGGGGTGCCCGGCCAGCCCCCCTAGCTCCTGCCCGGGAAGGAGGCACAGGTGGCAGGAAAGACCCCCTCCATCCCCCTGGATCCAAGGGGGACTGAGGCCCACACCCCCATAACAACCCCAAGTGCTAGAAAAGTAATACCACTGGTCGAAGTAAAAGATGCTAATTTGCAATAATCTCATTAATCTAAGGATTCTTGGCTTTGCTTCTGTTTGAGTTGTGACTAAAATTGGTATTTTGAGCCATAGGGAAAAGCTTCTTAAGAATTTTAGGCTAAGTTTCAGTAGTAGCTGTGTTTTTACTTTGCATAAGTTAGCCTTTTCAGAATACAATGGAGGAACAAACGCCAATCTGTGGGTGAGGAGCGGCTCTCTGGAGACCTGGGGAGGCCCAGGGGCTCAGTACGGTCTGGGGCCTGCTGCACCTGCACTCCACTGAGAGCAACCTACAAGTGGATGAACGGAGTTTGAAAGAAGACAGGAAGGAGGAGGGGAGGGAGCAGGGAAAGGAGGAAGGAAGGACAGGAAAAGGCAGGAAAAGGGAGGCAGGGGAGGAAGCATCCCTTCTGAGAAAGACAAGAAATGCTGTGACACTCCTGGGTGATTCCAGCCCTTTATCGACTGGAATTAGGAACCAAGACATTTGCTGGCATGTTTCATAGATCACACTGGGCCGACCTTTCCTTCAATGGCAGTAATGTAGGAAGTGCACCTGGACTGGCAGTCATCAGCCCCGTTCGTCTCCGCTTTTCTGCGCCAGCAGGATGCAAAGGCGACACTAAAGAATGACATGCACTTTGACCCAGAACTCTTTTCTAGCTGCAGCTTCATCGGCCCAGCTTTCTGGGCCTGGACTGTTAGACTTGGCGAAACCAGCACTTGTGTGTGGTGAGGGGCCAGCCCAGCAGCCCGGCAGCCCATAGCCCACACCCGCAGTGGAGGACGCCACCTCTTCTTGGAACCTCTCCGACTTCCATCCTGCTAGCGTTTCTCAGATTTCTCCTTTCTCAAAGCACATCTCTCTTCTCCATATTTTCTTCCATGGTTTCTCTGTTTTCAGGCTGCAGAGCCCTCTGTGTGTGTGGAGTTTGGGGAAGTCTTGATTTTCCTAAACTATGTTGTATGTGTTCGGATGCATTCCAGGCTCTCCAGAGGCAAAAGCGGCAAGAAGTTGAAGTGAGAAAAGTCACAGAGATGCTCCATCCAAAAGCCCGTCCCTGCAGGCCGTTTGCAGAATCTCCTCATGTTTTTGAAAACAGACCCGAGGGAGGCTGAGCGCCTTGGCCTCTCTGCTTAGCGCGTGCCCACTGGCACGCGTGCCCATGCCTCATGGGGCGGGGCTCGGACCTTCTTTGCCACCTGACTTTGTCCCTCACTCCATCCGATCGCATGGAAACCAAATTTTCTTTTGAAAGCAGGGTCTGGGGCTCCCTGGGCAGCAGCTCTGCGGTGAAGTGCAGGCCAGGCTGCCTGAGTGGAGGCAATGGGCCAGGCTGTTCCCGCGAGGCACCGCGGTGCATGGGACAGGGAGGTGGGGGCAGTGGCCAGGACATGGAGATTCTGACGCTGAACTCTCCCGTGTCTTGCTGGAAAAGCAGGAGGCGGAAACTTGGCTGGGTCCTGGGAACTGAGGCCTGGGGCCTCAGCAGCCCGCCCCAGATCGGAGGCCAGCAGGACTTCCCTGGCCTCTCCACATCCCACGGGCTCACGGTGGAGGCTCCTGCCTGAACACAAGCCGGTCCTGGAACACAGATTCTGATGCGGCCCCACATCTCCAGTGACTGCCCCCACTGCTCCCCCTGGTGGCCAGCAGCACGGCTGCACAATTGCACAGCTGCACTCCCTCCCTTAGCCTGGCTTAGAAGCTCAAAGACGCTGCTACCCTTCCCCGAGGTCACCGGTGGTCACAGGTGTGTGCTCCTGGCCCAGAGTCAAGCTATCTGAGGATGCTGGTGGCTTTCCACTCTGGACCTGGCCATCGGCCTTCTGCTCTAGATGAGGCTCCTGGGAGCAGAGCTCCAAGTGTGTGGCTCTGTCTCAAGGGGCTGGGGAGAGGCAGGACCACGTGCTCCAGGTCCCGGGGAGGGGCCATGTGCCCTCCCACAGCTGCCAGAGGCGGGGTGCAGGCCACGGCTCCTGGACCCTACTCACCTGATGCCTTGTCTTCTCACACAGACTCCCAGCATGGCAATAGGCACCTGCCCCCACAGCTCGGACCTGGGAAACCAGCCTGGGCCTCGGGGCCATAGACCAGGGAGAGGCGCCTCCCTGCCCCACCTCCCCGCCCCACCACGGCCCGGGCAGCGCACCGAGACCACCGGGTGGGACGGGTGCTGCCAGGGTCCCCGTGACATCTGCACTGGACTCTGAGCTCTGGTCTTCTCTTGCAGGGGGCCGAGGGGCAGAAGCCAGGAGTGGGCTATGGAGGCAGAGCTTCTGACTATAGATCGGCTCACAAGGGACCCAAGGGGGCCTACGACGCCCAGGGCACGCTTTCCAAAATCTTTAAGCTGGTAACGTAACCTCCTCACCCTCGGGACACACCAGGGCGCCTCCGTGGGGAGGCGGGTCTCCAGCCTCGTGCCGAGACCCCGGGCCAAGCAGTGAGCCCAGCACAAGAGCAGGGGTCAGGAAGAGGAAAAGCTTCATTCATTCATTCACTGATTCAGTTAGAAGACGGATTCATTTCTGAGAAGCTTAGCTAACAGTCCCGCTGCCCCCGCCCCTTTCAGCCCCCAGCCGAGGCCCAAGGGGCGGGGTGATGGCTTGCCCGGGAGTCAGTGTGGAGCAAGAGGATTTTAGAAAGGTGCCCCATCACGGTGCTGGGCTAGACCAAGCTGTCTGGAGCTGGAGTGGACCTCAGGTGGCTGTGACATCAGGCCTCGGCCGAGGACCCAGCTGGGCATGGAGGCAGCTCTGCTGGGGTACCTGGGAGCAGTCCCAAGGAATGGCCAGGGGTCAAGCAGACAAGAGGGGAGGGAGTCGCTGCACTGTGCAGGGGACCCAGAAAGCCCGGGACGAGCTCAGATGTCTGTCCCTGGGCACCGTGTGGACCAGGCGGGCCACCCTGGGGCACAGCTGTGATAGCCTTACATGGGGCGGGGCCCGCTGGCTCAAGGCCGGGGTCAGTGGGCACCGGGGCCAGCCCTAGCCACGCCAGCCCGCCCCTTGGCCTCCCTAGCACCAGGTCCTTGGCAGAGCTAGTCCAGACCATGCACGGACCCCTGAGGTTCTCAGCCTCAGCCCGTTTCAGGCTGGTTGGAGCTCAGGGCCTTGAGCTTGCTCCGCTTGCCTGCTTGGCCGGTGTTCCCATCCCAGGCCTACTTTCGGCTCTTTGCTGGTTATTCTTATAGAGTCTAGTGGACTTTTCCGTCCTGGCTGGCCTTGAATTGCTATGCTGTGGCCTGTGGAGTAGCTAGGATTATAGGTGTGAACGCCAGTCTAGGCCCACCCAAGGCCTTTTGCAGCCCCTGAGGGTCCAGTCCTGGTCAGACACGGCCTCCAGACTTGGTGGTGTGAAGTGTCCGGGGCACAACACGCATCCTCCAAAGCCTTGTGTCTCTGGGGCCAGGGGTAGGGCCAACTAAGAAGTGTCCGGGGCACAACATGCATCCTCCGAAGCAAGGCCTCGTGTCCCTGGGGCCAGGGTAGAGCCAACTAAGGCCACCCCTGTCCCCGCAGGTAGAGGCCTCACGAGGGACCCAGGGGAGCTTTGTCCTCAGTGGCCAGGCCAGCATTGTGGTGTCCACAGCTTGGGACACTCCCCAGGCTGCCATCCACTAAGTGGAGTTTACCCAGCATCCCCTGCATGCTGTCTGGGTGCCCGGGTGCCCAGGTGAGCAGAGAGAGAAGAGACAACTGGAGGGGCACATGTGTAATCAGGGGTCGGGGTTGGAAGCGAGCGACCTTGGGCCTGTAGGAGAGGAGGGCAGGAGCCGGGGTGGCGGCGGGGAAGCCCCCAGGGCCAGACCCACTCTCCAGGGCCAGACCCATTCGCCAGGGCCAGACCCACTGGGCGAGGATGGATGCGGCGGGGACACCCCCAGGGCCAGACCCACTCGGTGAGAATAGGTGTGGGAGGGCAGCAGGGTGTCACCACAGCCTGGCCCCAGAGGAGGGCGTCCTTGGGAAGAGGCGCCTCCACTTCCACTCTGGGGGAGGCACTGGAGGTGCCCAGCGCCGAGGGGCAGGCACCCTGTGTCTTGATGATGAAGTGCCAACCACCCGGCCCAGACTCAGGAGAACGGAGGCAGACTAGGAAGTCACTGGGCAGACGGAGGCCAAGCTCCACGCCCTGGATCTGCTGAATGTGCCAAGCCTCCCGCCATGCCCTCCATTTGGGGGCCTTTGGCCATCTTTCCCCACAACTGGTTTAGGCTCTGCCGGCACTCACGTGTCCCCACAGCCAGTGCCACAGTGCCACCATCATCTAAGCCAATGACTTCCTCCCCTCCCACGGGAAGAAGAGGCCACGCACCGCTCTCATGCCTCCTTCCAAACACCGCCACCCTGCTCCCCGCTGGATGTTGCCAATGCCAAGAGCAAACGATGGCCCTGCTGGAATGGCTCACCCGGCCCTCTGGCTTCCAGTCCAGCCCAGAGCCGGGCAGTGAGGAGGGCAGATCATGGGAGCCATCGGCTGACAGGAAGACATGAACCCTACAATGTCACCGCACTCCATCCGTGGCGCGCCGAGTCGGCAAAAATTTCCTGTTTGTCTTTCTGGGATGACAGGTGGATATTCCCACAGGACAGGCTCTGAGGACGCACACAGGACACAGCAGCCACGCCCACGTGAGGCGTAGATCCACACCACAGCAGCCACACCATCACAGGCTGGTGATCCCAGCGTCTGTCTCCCTCGGCCAAGAGCGCAGCTTTCCAGAGGGTGCAAGTCTAGGGAAGGTTAACTCTCCAAGAACAGACACCAGGACTTTGGTTTCGAGAATGGCTGTCGCACACCCCACCCCAGCCACTCCATCTAACCTAGACGTTTTCTGTTGGATGCAACTTACCTTATGTGTGTTTTCTGCCATGCAAAGCACCATGGTTTCCTGGCTTGTGGGCAATGATGTGGTTGCAGACCACAGAGATGCTCAGAGACCCAACGCCCAATCCAACACCACATGGCCCCCGAGCCGTGTGCACGCAATCTCCTGTGGGCAGGGTGCCGAGGGGTGCTACTCACTCTGTGTCCTTGGCCAATGCCCTGTGCCGGGGGGCTCTGCGGGACGGGCGTGGGGCGTGCACGTTACTTCCAGGAAAGGGGGACGAGGAAAAACCTCACACCCATGAGGCGAGTGGAGAAAAGCAGGCTGGGCCGCCTGCTGTCCGCAGGAGCCACACCTCGGGTTTGTTCGGAGACAAATCTGAGTGTCAAAAACTCAACCCCACACCTGCCAGTGTGTGTGTGTGTGGGGGGTCTCTCTGGGAAGTGTGTGGCTCTGGGTGATGTCAGCACCTGCCCTGAACTGACCGAGGTCCCCTCTGCCTGGGCTGTCTACCACCGGCCCCAGGTGCCAGCAGCTCTCCAGGCATGCGTGGTGGATGTGCTTTGTAACAAATGTCCCCGGAGCTGCTTTCCTTCAGGCTGCCGCCTCGCAGGCTGGGGTCCCTCTCCGTCATATTGCCCCCCTTATCTTCTTGATTTCAAATCATATTTGTCTAGAAATTAAGTCAGTTCACGGCTTTCAGGCCTCTGGGCTCCGTGAGGTGGGCTGTCGATGGCAGAGGGGACTTGGCCCGGGGTGCTGTCAGCAGGAGGCCTCCTGGGACACATGGCCTTTGCCTCACAGGGTTGCAGGAGTCTGTGGGGGGCAGGGTGCCGAAGCACTAAGGCACTCAGTAAAGCAACCCGGGAGGCAGGTCTAGCTGTGGCCTTCCAGCAGGCTTCCAGAGTCAAGTCCAGTTGCATCCTGGGGCCATGGTCTTACAGTACGCGATCTTAGATAATACTTGCTAAGGGACAGGTGACAACTGGAATGGAAGGATCAATTCCGTGTAGCGTTATTTCTGGACGGGACGTGGCCATGGAGGACGTGGCAGGACTTTGGTGTGGGAAGCGGCTGCCCACGGGACGGCTGGACAGGATGCAGTGTTCTCAGCTAACATCTGTTCCTTCCTTTTCCAGGGTGGAAGAGACAGCCGCTCCGGGTCGCCCATGGCGAGGCGCTGAGTCCTACCCCGTCCCTAGAAACCCTGTCCTTTGCTTCTTAATATAACTGCCTTAAACCTTAATCCCCTGCCTCACTTAGCTAGCTAGAGCAGATGCCCTCTCTCCTAACCCCTGGACCTGGGGGCTGGGGGGGGGGCCATACCCACAACACCTCCCTGACCACCCCAGCCAATATCTGAACAGAGCAAATCAAGACTAAAATGGTTCACACGGTCCTTTTCTGCTGGAAGATTGCGTTTCCTCGGGGTCCCTGCACGGCACCCCGATGCACCCCGGTCCGGTCTCTGCAGACTCAAGTGCACAGACAACCCTCCAAGTTCACCCCACCCCACCCTGGACTCTGCCGCGCAGCACCCCCTCCCCAGCTTTTGTGGGCACTGCCATTAGGCTGGCCACCCAGGCACCAGAGAACACAGTGCGGGACTGTCCTGATCCAGGCTTGCTTTGTTTCTTCCTGATCTCTCTCCTCAGAGCCTTATGTTTCCTAACAGGATCAGACAGTCACGGGGGAGCTGACAGTGGGACTTTCGGTACGTGAGCGTGGGCTGGGCAGCTGTGAGAGTCTGGGGTGGGCTGCGCAGGGAGCGGCCCCCGCACCTACCAGCTGATTTTGAGTGTGGCAGAGGGCAGGAAAGGGATGAGCGGGCCCATGTGGGCCCGCAAAGAAACGGGAGCTTGGGGACAAGCGTGCAGCTGCTGGGTCACAGCGGGTGAACAGGTGGCCGCCAGAGCAGCCACAGCGGAGACCCCGTTTCCTCTGAGCCCAGGGAGAGTCCAGGGAGAGGGTCCGTCTCAGATGGGGACTGTGGGAGTTCTCGGGTGACCTCTTCTTGCTGGGGTGAGCGGTGGCGGCTGGCAGTGGCAGTGTCCATCAGCACACACTAACCCCCGCCAGGAGCTAACAGTCCCTTCCTCCCCTAGATGTCACCCGTCCTTAGCAAATGAATCAGGCCTTGCCCATCGCTGACTCGCTAACCCAGACTCAGGGCTGGCCTGGCCAACCCCACGGGGAAAAGAGCTCTGAGCACCCACGACACCCTGCCCTAACCTACTCACTCACCCTGCGACTCGGCGTGTTTTCGAGAGACCTTCTGAAGCACCGGCGCGTGAGCCCTGGTCCTGTCAAAGAACGCCCAGACCCCTCCCTGGTTAATCCCCTGCTAATTCTGAATGTTCAGCATGGGTCTAAGTAATGCACATTAATATATAGTATCAACGATGAAAGTAAGAAAAACATAAAAAAGAGGAACCAGGTTCCAGAATGAAACCCTTCCAATTGTTCTCCAGGAGCCCTAGCCCGGTGCGTCGGGTCAAGGGAGCACACCCTGTTCTTGAATTTTGAAATAAAGTAAGAAACTTGCAACCCAGCTGGCACAGGTGTCTCATTGCGTGTCCCGGCTGGTAGCAGGTGTGGTGAAGGCACAGCCACACCACAGGAAGTAACAGGAGCGCCCACGCTCTGGCAGAGCCAGGGCCGCCCCACAGCCCCCTCCGAGCCTACACTCGTCAGGGGAGGGGACCGGGGCCAGGACTGCCAGCAAACAGGAAAAGGCTTTGTGGACGTGGTGCGCATGTAGTCTCGCTATGCCGTGCCATTTTGACCTGTGACACATGCAGGAGTGAGTGGGATGCTAACAGATTGCAGCCAGGTGAAACAGGAAGCCACCGGCTCAAACCAACAGGCCCAGAACAAGTGAGGGAGAAGAGGAAGCTTTTCCTTCAAGTAGAACACAGCCAACAAACGCAGCAGGGGAGAGACAACTGAACACCCCTAGCTGCGGGGCTCAGGCATGGTGGGGCTGTTGTGGCGTGCAGGCCCCAGGAGTGGGCTGTAAGGGCTCAGGGCCTCTATTCCAACACATGCTCATTGCCGGGGGCCTGCAGGGCCATGGCAGCAGCACTCAGTGCCCACATGGCACTGACACCCCCCATGCCCAAACCTGCACTCACAGGGCCTGCTGTTTGCACAGAACCCACATGACCCCTTTGACCGCAGCATCTGTATATCATGCCTACGTGCACTGTTACACCTAAGCCATACAGACACAATTTAAAATACAACTTGTTCGCCCCATGTCTGCTTGAATCAGAGGTTGTGGGTGCCACAGCGCTCAGCTCCAACTGGCACGGAAAGTCTGTCCTCTCCTGGCAGCTTTCCTGTGAGCCTCACAGAAAAGAGGCTATCTTTGGCGTGTGAACTTACAGAGGTGAGCAGGCAGCCGCGCCCAGCCGTCAGAAGGCTGCCCTGGCACCTCGGCCCTGTGGTGCACACGCACTGCCCCCTCCATCCTGTGGCCACACAAGGACACCGGTGCTCCACAGCAGCCGGCCCTTCTGCAAGGCTCCCTGGGGAAAGCATCCTGAGTGGGCGGGAGGACCCCGCAGTGGGAACCCCTCGGCCAGCAGAACTAGGTCTCCTTCAAAGGAAGCGCACTAGGCAGCAGGTGGTGAAGACAGCGGCCTACAGCCCTAGTTCCTCACAGGTGGATGACACGGACGCGTCCGGGGCCAGAGTGTGACACACAATGGAGCTGCAGGCCAGCCCGCCGCTATGCTGGCTGAGGTCCCTGCAGTGACTGGCCCGCAGGCACTCCGCAGCCAGCCGGGGTCCGTGGCCCAAGCCCCCAGGCCGGGCCACCCCGCC